CCCCCCCCCCCCCCCCCCCCCCCCCCCCCCCCCCCCCCCTCCAAGGAAAACACTTCCGTGTCACTCAGATTTATTCCTTAGAAAAAGAAACTCACTTTTAACGTGTTTTTTGCTTCAAATCACATATGACCAACACCTCCTTGTGTTCTCTAAGCCGGAAGGTTTTAAGTGACGGATGAAACAGTTCGGGCCTCAATGTTTTAAAATGCTTCCGTTTTTAAAAGGTGGAGGTTGGGGGATAGGCCCGGAGTCTCCTTTCCCTCTCCTCCTCCTGCTTATTTGTCATGAGGAGGGGTTTGGGGAAACATCCAAGGAGCCTCTTCCAGGTTTAGAGCAAGGATCAGGATACATTCCGTTGTGCCTGATAAGCGAGGCCCCATTCGGCCGCCTGGTTCCACATGGTTTGGATGTTTCCCTAATAAAAAAGAAAGAAATCCAAGACTCCAGCCCACGTGACAACTCTGAGGAACGAGAGCCGAGAGGAGGGAAGGAGTCTGGGGTCAGACCCGCCGGTCAGTGTTTTCCCTGTTTGCGTAAGACATCACTGGAGTGTGTGTGTCGTCTCTTATGTGTAGACGGTCGTTAGGCAGAGTCACATGCTTGCATCCGGCTCTCCTCTGAGAGGCACATTTGTCTCCAAGATGGAAATGGTAGAACCATTTCAATATTCTCAGTTCCTTTGGGTTTTCTCCTGTATACCCAGCTAGCAGAAGCAGGTTGCATTATTGAAAGATGGCTGAAATCAAGGAAAATTGAATCAGTGTAGTACAACAAATTTCTAAAGCTGTCATAGCAAAAACAAGACAAAAAAAGTCCCCCTTTGTCTTTGATTCTCGCTAAATCATAAAAACCAACCTGATTGTCATCTATAGATTTGGGGGGAGGGGGCGGGAGCTGGGCAGTGAACTTGGGGAAAAGAATGGCTGGCCACCACATTGGAGATACACAGGCTCCGTGTATATACGTGGGGCCCCGTGCACCCCCTTCTCAAAAGCAAGCAGCCCCCAAACGGTTCTGCCCGCCGCCTGTTCGCAAACCGCCATCGCCTGGGGCCCTGCGCAGGGTGGCACCGGTGAGCGTGTGCAGAAGGTGGCTCACTCTTTCGAGGTGGCTTTCAAGGTGGCTCACTCTGGCTGCAGGGGTAAATCAGGGGCACGGCCTGTGGCCACTTTAGGACGGACAAGGTCACACAGACGTCTCACCCGGCTCCACGCTGACCGGGGGCAAGCGGTCCCCTCTCTGTTTGAAGCTAGGATAACAGTAGAAGGCACGTCATGGGGTTTTCGGGAACACTTCACGAATCTATGCGAACGCCAGCGCCTGGCACCACGGGGCCGAGGATGCGGAGGTGTCGTGTGCTGGACCAAGGAGGCAGCGTCTGAATGTCGTGTTTTCTCCTGCCTCGGGCCTCCCTGTGCCACAGCCATAGCCCCCTTTATTTCAGCACCTGCTCTGTGCTCACCTTCAGCTCGGGGCTGTACCTACATTCCCACTGGTTCCCACCCCCAGAAATTGAGACTCTGGAGGTGAAGGGTCTTGCCCAAGATTGAGACCCAGCAGTTACACCCCAAACCCTGCCCCTTATGGCTTAAAGTCTGTGGTTTCCCATCCCTTGAAGGGGCTGATGGGGACAACGGCGCAAGGGAGGCCGGTCGACCTGACCCTGGCTGGGCCCGTGAGTCACTGGGAAGGGATAAAGTAGGCGGGGCCTGTGTGAGGCTCGGTGCGGGTGGCAGAAACCACCAGAAACCTGAATTCTCATGCTGAGGACGAAAATCTGACCCAAACATGTGTCTTGTTAGAAGGCGTTGTCTTGATGTCCAGTGCTCTGAGCAGAGGCTGGCGGGGGGAAGAAAGAGTTCTGGACTCGGCCGCCCCGGGCTTAGATCTGAACAGCGCCACTTAGCTGTTCTAAACCTCCGTCTTCCACCCCTGTAAACTGGGAGAGTAATAAAAAATCCTCACTGCCAGCACTTACGGGGTTTGACCGAGATAGTCGCGTACAGGGCTTAGGACGATGCCCAGCATGCGGCTGCCGTGGTCTCAGTCACGCTGGTTGTGACTCTTCCCTATTAGCGTCCACAGGAAGGGGGGGCGAGCAGCGTAAATCCATCCCATGTCAGCACGGCACGCCGCTCTGCCGCTGGAGGCGAAGCAGTGACATCCTGTGTGACCACGCCAAGCTTGATTTCTTGTTTAAGTGATGGGTTAAAAGTACTCGTCTGTGTTCTGCGTTGAAGGAAATTAAAGTGGAGTTAAAATGAGGGGAGATGGGGGAGGTTGGAAACGTTAAATAGGATATAAAACCGTCGCAAACACCACCAGAGTCCAGAATGCTGTGGTTTTTTCGTTTAATCTGAGGATTTAGAAGTTACTTACCCAGGCCATCCGCGTGCATTTCATGGTGATTAGTATGTTGACATCACACTCTGGTGAATGGGCTGCTGCTTTGGCAACAATGGCAAGGAATTTTCTCCATAAACAATCATGAACTTGCTCCTTTTCACCCCTGAACTCTAAGCATAGCTCACGGAGTCAGAGGCCGAGGAGAGAAGCTGGGCCCACGGCCCCCTGGCCCCGGCTCTCGGCTCCGAGGGTTGGGCCTGCGTCGCTGGGTGTCCCTTTGGTCAGGATGATTTTGCAACTTCCCATTCCTGGCAAATCTGGCTGCCCCTGGGGGCTGCAGGGTGGGGGCTGCCTGGCAGAGGACTTGGCTTTGCTCATTGTGTCATACTTTACACTGGTAAGCCAAACCCCTTGCCCACAAAAAGGCAGGAGACACCCTTTGGGTTCGGGGCGGACACGTGACCCGAGCCGCCTCTCTGCCCATCCTGAATACCTCCCCGATCTCTTGAGCTCCTAAGCAGCAGGGAGAGGCCGGCATCCATGGAGGCCGCCATGTGCTGTCCTCCTTCACTCTCCACACCCTGTGCAGACAGGTGCTGTTGCCCCCGTGCAGAGCTGAAACCTGGGCTCGGTGGTCCCAGCCGTAAAGGAAGTTCAAGTGCAGTCCCTGATGGCAACACACCGTTCTGTCTGTCCAGAACCGGGGTGGGTCTGCTTTCCTGCTGACCTTAAAACTTTACGTACTCTGCTCTGCCTGGGGGTGTTTCTGAATTTAAGCCTGTGCCCTATCACCATCATTTGGCCGCAGGGATAGTTCACTCCATGAAGGACCCCCCTCACCCTGTCAGCTTTGAGCTGGGTGCTTAGGGACCAAAGGGAATGCCCCAGCAGCCAGCGCAAGCAGGGACCCGCAGTGCGCCCCAGCCTGCCACACCCGAGAAGCACCCCAGTAAGAGATGGAGAGAGACCAGGTGTCACCCCAGTTGTGAGTGGGCAGTGCACCTCCAGCCTCCCCTCCCCCCAGAAGCAGGCGAGCTTCAGGGAAAGTGTGACGCTGGGCCCTGGCCAGGCCAGCAGGAAGACGTATGGGGCCCCCCCCCCCGCCCCCCCGGCAGTGTGGCTAACAGTGTGGACTAGAGCCACCCGCCACGTTGGTGGGCAGATACTGGGTATTTGCAGGGACGTATGTGGACCGTGTACACGGTGGAGGCAACGTGGTTGGGTGGAGAGGGCACAGTTTGCGAGTTTGGATACCTGGGGTAGCATGCCAAGTCTTTGCATCAACGTGACCCTGGGGCAGGTCCCCTGGCTTCCCCCACCCCAGCCCCAGTGCTGGTCCCGCATCCGTGGTGATTGTGGCATATGCAGCACTTGGCTAAGTTTCTTGAAAGACCCCCAAGAATGGTCATGTTTAAGGTCGCGGCTAAAACCTGTGTAGATGCCATCGAGCAGAAATGGGGTGGGGGGGAGGGGGCGGAATTCTTCACAAACAGGAAACCTGCACGACTCAGAACTACTCTCAGCTGTGGGTGTTGACAGTGGACGAAGCGGTGCTTACTAAAGAAATTCTCACTTGAGTGCCATCACTCTCCTGGTGCTCAGTGGTGACACCAGCCTCCTTCCTGCCCAGCCTGTTGTCCAGCAGCCATATTCCCTGCCGTCCACGTCCGTCCCCGGCCGGGAGCAGGGCCTCTGCCGTGTAAATTAGTCCAAGGCATGAGAAAGTGAGTTGTTGCTCCTCTCCCCTCAGCCACAGGAGGTGATCGGTGGCAGTGATGGGGAGGTTTTCTGGCCAGGCCCCTCCCTCATGGGGCTGAGCAGCAGGAGAGTGGTGGTGGCCCTGGGGGACCGTGTCCCAGTGAAAGCCTTACTGTCCTTCCCGCTGCCCAGACAAAAGGTTGTCTCTGTTCAGGAGTCAGGAAAAGTGTAATTTTGCAGCCAATCCCTGTGATGAAGCATCTTCTCTCGGAGAAGATGGACGTATAAATATTCTCCGTCTCTGCTGCTCTTTATGTCCCTTGTAAGCAGTTGACCCACTTCACCATCTGATGGATTCCCCGTCACAGCCAGGCAGACGCGTCCCAGCTCCACAGTCCAGGCAGCAGCCCCTAAAATGATCCCGGTGTCTCTGTTCCCCTTACCATTACTCTGCATCCTTCCTCCCCACCCACTGCCCCACGTGCCCCGTGGCCCTGGCCATCCCCAGTCTCGCCCCTCCAGCAGACCCTCCAGCCCTCGTCTCAAGGAATAACGGCCAAGAGACAGCGGCCTTGATTGTAGATTTCACGCTGCATGCATAACAACCTGCAAGCCTTTGACAACTAGGAGCCAGCAATTCCTATGATGAAGTGGCATCCGGCACCCGTCCTGCCTTCCAGCTCAGTGCAAAGCCATTTCCCCACCTGCTGCCGACCTCCCGCAGGAAACCACGATGCTCACCCTCCCTTCAGTGGGCGCCACACTGAAAACTGAGCACGACGAGGGAAGCTTTATCAGCCCACCGTGCTTCCTTGTAGGGCGCACAGCCTCCATTTTCAGCCGACTTTAAAGCTGAAAGACACGGGAGAGTCTAATTAGTAAAGGGACGATCTAATATTAATCACTCCCTTAAAATTGACAAGGGAGGCAGTTCATTTAACCACTTAATTGCTACAGGTTTTTATGGGCTGCTGTCTGCAGACGTATTTAATGAAGAAGTTATAAATCTAAGGGAGCTTAAAATTTTAATTTTATACCTAAATATTTTCCTTGTTCTCATGTTTGTAGTCAACCCTCAAGAGTGTAGTCACGTGGAATGTTCTTTAAATGAACATATTTGCTAACTGGCGTCATTTCAGTTTTTAAAACATTGGTTCCAGCAATTAGGCATTTTTCTCAGTTCCCAAATGACTAGAGAAATTCGTCTTGATTATAATTGCTCTTAGCCACGCATATCTAATTTGTGTCTTTTTAAGTGTTAATTAGTAAACAGTTTGAGCTGACATCTTTATGTGTTTGTGTGTTGAAAAATGGGGCTCATTGCTTATTTAGCTTGGGGCCGATTCCACTAGCATTTACGTCACGACGTTGAGGTGAAATTAATGGAAACACGTGTGGCAGCGCAAGGTAAAAAGAATTTTCGAATTCAACTTTTGGGCATCCACTTTGCACGGGCTTCTACAGGCCCCTTCAAGTAGATGAGAGTGGATTTGGGACCTGCATACGTGGGAAGAAAGCGAGGCGGAAGATTTTTGTGCCAATAATGAAATGGCAGAGTCCCAATTTTATAAAAGCAAAATGTTCATGTCCCAGCACAATTGTTCATTCTTTCTACTTTTGGAAAGCTTTCATTGTGCTTATTAACGGTAAAGGATTTCGTGGCGGGAGAGGTTGCAAACTCTGTGGTGTGGTCCCTTGGCACCATCTAGTGGTCAGGTCTGGAACTGCAACAGGAAATAAGCTGCCTTCTGTCTAGATGGAAGGTTTTCACCCCCCAGAATCTTTTTATTTCTCAGTGAGGAAGCGGATACGTTTTGGGAAAGAAATTTTCCTGATTTACTTATTAAATAAAATTTAGTTAAATAAACAGAAGTTAGCCTGTTCTTCCTCCCTTTTTCATTATTGCACAGAGCTGCCACCCACATTCTTACTGAGTTGAGATAATTCCAGCCCCAAACAAAGAAACCTAATAAATTAGTTTAATGGTTGGCCTTTCTGAAGGCTCACGAGAAGTGTTAGGCTTCTTCTGAAATATGGGACATAGCTTGGGGACCGCCACTTCATAGACTCTCCAGGAGTCTGACCACAAAGCTTAAGAACCAGTTTGAGGCCACAGACGAGATTAGTTCCCTCCCCCATTAATTGTAGCAGATGTCTTGGACAGTTGATCATCTTAAGCAGCTACCCTGCCAGTCAGAATGCGTTTTTTAATATTTAGGGTGTTCCCCTTGAGTTCAAAGGTAGGTCGTACATGTTTATAAAACTGCAAACATCACAGAAACACGTAAAGTAAAAGGTGGACGCACACGCGTGAGGTAGGCTCACACCGTGCGTGATCTCAGTACCTGGCTTTGCACTTGGCACAACCTTCCACATCATTCTGCACAGACCTACCTCATTCTTTTTAATGACTACATGTGGTTCCCTTTTATGATTATGCCATAATTTATTTAAGCAATCCACTATTGATTGACTTTTGAGTTGTTTCCAATTATTCACTCTTACGCTGCTGCAGTATATTTCTTTGTACGTGTGTCTTTTCTCCCCTGGGTCTTTCTTGAGAAGAATATATATTACCAGTTTGTCTTCCAAAACGGGTGTGCACATTGAAACCTCCCCACCCCACCCCGTAGGGTATGGGCGGGCCCCGGGCCCCCCCCCCCCCCACATTCTCTAACTATAGCTGAGCAGCACCAGGATTGAAAGGTGAACATTCTTTCATATGGTTATTGCCTATTTGTAGTTATTTTGTGAATCTCTTCTGTTTGTGCCCTTGCCCAATTTTTTTCTGTTGGCTTAATTTTTTTTTTCATTTGTTTTTAAGAATTCTTTATGCCCTTGGGACACCTGGGCGGCTCAGTCAGTTGAGTGTCCGACTCTTGATTTCAGCTCAGGTCTTGATCCCAGGGTTGTGGGATCGAGCCCCACATCAGGCTCCGCACGGAGCCTGCTTGGGAGTCTCTCCCTCTCCCTCTCTCTCAAATAAAATAAAAAAATAAGGAATTTTTCGTATTCTTTATAACCACTTTCTGTCATATGTTCAAACA